TTAATATTTGTTTTCATGGATAAGAAAAAACCTTAAAATCGAAGAAAGATGTCTGTTACTAATTTTCCTGTTCAATAGACTAAAAAATTATTGGTTTTTATTCCTAAAGTAAAATATTAAAAGAGGTAAGTTATCTCTCTGACTATAATTCTTGTGTTTATAAAATAAATATTGAAGGATATCACTGTTTAAAAAAACAATACTCAAAGAAATTGAAACATAAAGTTTATACCAAGTAGTTATCCTATATGCATATAAGAAGATCATTGTGATTCTAAAGAAAACAAATGGCTCAATGTAGGCTAGTTACAATGAAGTTTAAAAAGAGAAGAGGAAGGAGAAGAATAGAAGATCAACCATTGGCTATGCTTAAAATAATTGATTGAACCCTGCCCCCGTCAACCAGTAAGAACACATACTCTGTTAAAAATAAAAGCAAAGAGATTTATTGACGGTTCAAGACAGTTCGAACTGGGACACGTGTGATCTCACAAAGTGAAACCAAATGCTCCAAAATTGCAGAGTTACAGAGGCATTTTTATGAGCTAAAATACAACATTCTGATTGGAAGTTGCAAGATTAGGGAAGCAGGAGGTGGGATAACTCAAAGCTGGGGCTTTACAGTGATTGATTGGAAACACAAATGTGGGCTATTTGGGTTGTTTAGTTGAAATACTTGACTAAGGGGGGTTTTACCATGATGATCACAAAGTAATTATCTTAACACATTTCCTGAGGGCTGCTGAGGGGATTTCTGATAAGGGTCTTCTGTCAAGACCCTCCCTTAGGAACATTCTTTCCATATCTTTAGTTTAACCACAGAGAAAACCATTTCATTTGTTATGTACTTAAGTCCATCTAAGGGTTTGAAGCTTCCAGGGGAAATCCTTTGTTATGTACTTAAGTCTTACTAAAGTTTCCTTGGTTGCAGGGGAAATCAGCAGAAGGTAAGATGGAGTTGGGGCTCAGACCTGGGCTGATCATTCTGAGTCAAGAAGCTCAATTTTGGAACTCTCACACATTCCCTCCTTTTGACCAAGGGTTTAATTAACATACTTTGATCACTGTTATATAAATGAAATGATGACACACACTTCCTTAGATGGCTGCTTACTTAGGTAAACCTCTAAGACCCCAGACACTATTGTTTAGTAGTTAGGTACCATCTGACCTCTTCACCCTGCCATGGCTTAGCATTCAGCTTCTGTGATCTTAGATGGGGGGTCTTGTGGAGTAAAGCCACATTAGAGGAATAGTTTGACTGTCCAAAAGACTGGTTCAGGGTGTGACCCATTTGGGAGATGTGTCTCATGTATGTACATAATTCTTTTCATAGGCATTAGATTGGTCTTTTTTGTCTGTCTTAGTCATCTAGTGCTGCTATAACAGAAATACCACAAGTGGATGGTTCTAACAAAGAGAAGTTTATTTCCTCACAGTAAAGTAGGCTAAAAGTCCAAATTCAGGGTGTCAGCTCCAGGGGAAGACTTTCTCTCTCTGTTAACCTTCTCATCAATCTTCCCCCAGACTAGGAGCTTCTCCACACAGGGACCCCAGGTCCAAAGGACATGCTCTGCTCCCAGCACTGCTTTCTTGGTGGTATGAGGTCCCCCTGTGTCTCTGCTCGCTTCTCTCTTCTATATCTCAAGAGATTGTCTGAAGACACAATCCAATCTTGTAGATTGAGTCCTGCCTCACTAACACAACTGCCACCCATCCTCCCTCATTAACATCATAGAGGCAGGATTTACAACATATAGGAAAATCACACAATACCAGGAATCATAGCTCAGCCAAATTGATACACACGTTTTTTGGGGACATAATTCAAATCCATAACAAGGGGTAAGGAGGAGTGGGGAGGCAGCCTGTTTAGCAGCTTTATCTGCTGAACTTTTTTTTTTTAATCTCCTTTGTTTCAAGTATTCCCTTAGGCTGATGGGCTTGTATTTTGATGTGAGCAATCTCGAAGGGGAGCAAAAGGGCTTCTAAGAAGTCTATCACTAAGGGGCCATTTTTAATTTGGGTCCCAGAGGATGTTAGGGATCCCTTCTATTTCCATAGCGTAACAAAATCATAAATGACTCTGAAACTATACCTCAAGTCAGTGTACACATTTACTGACCATCCAGTCTGCAAGCCCTCATGAGTGCAATCAGTTCAGCCTGTTGAGCTGAGGTGACTTCAGGAAGGACAGTGCTTTCAAGAACTTCAGTAGAGGTGGTAACAGCATAACCTGTTTGGTAATGAGAGCTGTTGAGGTAAGGTCTTAAATATGACCCATCCCTAAATAGAATCAAATCAAGGTTAAAAAGAGGAGTTTCCTTCAAATCCTTTGTAGGAGACAAAAGTTATGTTGGTTTAAGCAGTCATGTGGGGGATGATTGCTATCATCTGGAGTGGGTAAAAGGGTGGCTGGGTTTAAGCAGGCTACCAAATGTAGCCGAAAGTTAGAGGCAGGCAAGAGAATGATGTCATAAAAAGTCAGCCTGCTAGCTGACAAATGCTATGTTAAAGTGGAGTTTAAAATGGTGGACACTGCATGAGAAACATAAGTATCCAGTAAGTTTCCTAAAACTATATCTGCTGTTGCTTCCACTAGTCTGGCTGTGGCAGCAACTTTCTGAGGCAAGGAGGGTAACCCCTGAGGACTGAATCTAGTTGGAGGCTGTAGTAGCCAACTGGTCTTTGTTGTTCTCCATGTTTCTGAGTGAGCAGCCCTAAGGCATTCCCAGACACCACATGAATGAAAAGCAAAAAGTCTAAATGATAATTAGGGAATCCTAAAGCTGGGCTATTAATTAATGACTCCTTTAATGTCTGTATGGCCTTTTTGCCATCCTCTGAAAACTGAAAGTTATCGGGCTCTGAAGCCTTTAGGTATTGAAACAATGGTTGGACCAGCAAAGATATATTCGCATCTAAGTTCTGCAATATCCACAAAGTCCCAAAAATCCCCTTTGCTGTTTTTTTGTACCAGGGACAGGGAAAGCTAGGATGATTTCTTTTGGAGTCCGTAGTGATTCCCTTTGTTGAGATTATATGTTCTAAATATTTAACTATTGGTTGCAATTTCTCTTTATAGGCTTTGTGCCCACTATCAGCCAAGTGTTTTAACAAAAGAATGCCATCTTCTAGACAAGTTTGTTGAGAATTAGAGTGGAACCGTATATCATCAACGTATTGGAATAAAGTGAATCCATGGGCAAGTTGTTAAGATTTTACAGATCTGCCTGTAAAATCTGAGAAAAATAAGTGATGGACTCGGTGAAGACTTGAGGCATCACAGTCCAAATGTATTGCTAGTCCCCTCAAGTAAAAGCAAATAAATATTAGTGTCTTAGTCATCTAGTGCTGCTACAACAGAAATACCACAAGTGGATGGCTTTAACAAATAGAAATTTATTTATTCACAGTAAAGTAGGCTAAAAGTCCAAATCCAGGGCGTCAGCTCCAGAGAAAGGCTTTTTCTCTCTGTCGGCCTTCACATCAATGTTCCCCGGACTAGGAGCTTCTCCATGCAGGGACCCCGGTTCCAAAGGACATGCTCTGCTCCTGGTGCTGCTTTCTTGGTGGTATGAGGCCCCTTTGTCTCTCTGCTCACTTCTCTCTTTTATATCTCAAGAGATTGTCTCAGGACACAATCCAATCTTGTAGATTGAGTCCTACCTTACTAACAGAACTGCCACCCCTCCTCCCTCGTTAACATCATAGAGACAGGATTTACAACGTATAGGAAAATCACACAATACCAGGAATCATGGCCCAGCCAAATTGATGCACACATTTTTAGGGGGACATAATTCAATCCATGACAATTAGCTATCAGGATGTATACAAATACTGACAACTGCACTGCAAAGATCAACCACTGTAAAGTGAGAGGCTTCAAGGGGTACATTAGAAAGGAGTAAATGTGGATTAGGAACCACAATGAAGTTAATGGCATGTTGATTCTGTACAAACCTCCAGCCATGATTATTGACTTCTTAACAGGGAAAACAGGAGTATTACAGGGGCTAGTACAGGGAGTAATTAAGCCTTTAGTAAGAAAACCCTGAATTATTGGAGTAAGTCTTTCTTTTGCCTCTTGTTTTAAAGGGTACTGAAGGATTTTAGGTAAAGGCTTGGAGGTATCAACTTGAATTATAGTGGGGTCTGCTGACAGCACCCAGCCAACATCTGTGGAAGTTGTGGCCCACAGGTTTGTCATACTAAAAAGAGATAGTCTAAAGAAGTGAAAGGGGCAGAGGAGCTGCCTTCCTGTAGGAGCAAAGTGCTTGCAAGTAACAAAAAGCCTCCTCCTGTGAGGTTCCCTCAATTTCATGGTGACTGTCAGGGAGTTCTAATAATATGTCCCCCTTTTCATTAAACTGTATATGACAATTCCATTTAGCTAGTAAGTCTTTTCCTGTTAAATTAACTGGGGTATTATGACTAAGTAGAAGAGGATGGAGATCTGCCATAGGACCAGAAGATGTCGGAATGGACTTAGAGTGGGCTAGTTTGTTCTTGAGTAGCGACCCCCACAACTTTAGAGGTTCTGGTACTCTGGGGCAGAGGTTTCTGTAAATAAGTGGAGATGATGATGGACAGGGTGACACCAGTGTCAGTTAAAAATTTGCAAGTTTCCCCATTAATTTAAATAATTGTTTCTCCTTGAGGATTTAAAGTCACCACAGGAAAAGCCCTTGTTTTGTCCCTAGATCCCCTTCATTCTGATTTAGATTGAGTTTTGTCTGATGGTAGTTTGCCCATTTTATTCTTTAACTTTATACAATCCTTCTTAGAATGCCCAGGTTTTTTACAATAATAACAAGTACGAGTTTTAGACCTCCAAAGGACTTAAATCCCTTTTGATTAGGAAACTATAATTGCTGTAATTGTAAAGCCATCAATTTTTTAGTCTTGGCAGTTTGTTTAGTTTCTAAGGTTTAAACAAAATCATGAGCCAAGCTAATCAGCTCAGCCATTGGGGTGGCCTTCCAATCCAGCTAATACCTTTTTCCTAAGGCTGAGAGATCAGAGTTAAGGCCAGACACAAAGGCTGCATTAAAAGCTCCTGATGCCCCTGGGGTAAAAGTATCAAGCCCAGAATGTTCAGTAAATATCTGAAGGAGCCTATGTTGGTAATCATAAATACTTTAATCTTTATTCTGTAGACAAGAGTGGATTTTTGTCCAGTCTGTTATAGGGGGAAACGTATAAAGTAATTCCTTCCCTTTTTTTCAGGCTTCTTGGAGCAAATTACCAGCTGCCTTACTTGTATCTAAGGCTAGACTAAGTTGAGGATGTTTCCAATCATCGTGCTCTGACCACAATTGAGTATCCCCAGGGCTTGTGAACATGTGAACCAACTGATATAAATCAGGTAACCCAGCCTGGTAAGCTTCAATAAGGATTTTAAATTCTTCAGCAAATTTATAGGGTTTCTTTTATACATCTGGAAAATCTTTAACAATGCTGTGTAATTCTGTACAGGTCCAAGGACACAGCTGGTTCTTGGGAGTTTCTCTAGTACCAACTCCAGGACCTGGACGTCAGATTTTAAAAGACATTTCAGGGACAAGTTTTTCTTCCTGAGCAGATTCCTTAGAAAAGAAAGGAAGTTCTGAGAGGGTATTAGTAGAGGAGTAAGAAGGTAGGGACGGATACAGAGAGGATATGCCAGCTGAGGAGCAGAGGGAATGGGGTAGGTGCCTAGCATTCTAACTCCTTTTGTCTTTTAGTCAATTTAGAAATAGTATCTTGCATGGACAATAACCTGCTTTCTTGGTGTCTTTCAGAGACTTCTATGTGTCAATCAAAATAAGCATCCCATTGTATTTGCTGAATTCAACAGGCTTTCTTTTCTAATTGACTGCACAGGAAAACTAGTTTGTCTAGGTCAAAAGAACCCCAAATGAGCCACTCATGTTCTAAACTGCCCTTAGTAAAGTCATGCCAGTACTCCAGAAACAGGCAGGTATGGAGGCTGAAATGTTTGTTGATATGAGCAGACATTGTGCCCAAAGGTGGTCCTGCCAAGTCCTTAGAACTGGCATCCCCCGTCACTAAAACAGTGAATTGCATGTGCTAGAAAACCTGAATTTGTGCTAAAGAAAAATAGGTGAGTTCAAACTTAATTGGCCGAGACTTTGGTCCTCCAAAAGTCCATGCTTATTAGATGAGAGTCTTGTTGTCACAGCCACACCGAACTTAATTTGGCAATGAACCCTTCAAAACGCTTAGAGCAAGCTGAAAATGAAAGCAGAAGAGAAAGACAACAATAAATCCCAAACAACTCAACACAAGGAAATGAAGCTTGATTCAAGAGGTGTTTTACCTAGGATGACTCCTGGTAATCTGTGGAGAACGATGAGTTTCAAAGGACTTGTGCTTGGTACTGAAACTCCAGGTCTTCAATATCCTGGAGGCCACCGGAGGAAACGCACCTTCAAATCCCAATCACCTGACACCAGAAAATGCCAAAGAGTAAGAACAAGTACTCTGTTAAAAATAAAAATAAAGAGATTTATTAAAGGTTCAAGACAGTTCGAACCAGGGACACATCTGATCTCACAAAGTGAAACCAAATGCTCCAAAATGGAACAGTTACAGAGGCATTTTGTATGAGTTAAAATACAACATTCTGACTGTAAGTTGCAAGATTAGGGAAGCAGGAGGTGGGATAACTCGAAACAAGGATTTTACAGTGATTGGCTGGAAACACGAATGTAGGCTATTTGGATTGGTTAGTTTAAATACATGAGTAAGGAGGCTTTAAAGGGTGGTCACAAAGTAATTATCTTACCACATTTCCTGAGGGATGATGAAGGGATTTCTGATAAGGGTCTTGTTCTTCATGGTTGACAAAAAAAAAGTTTCACATTCTGAAATCTGGAGTTTAGCATCCGGTTGTTTCTACAAATATTGTCCTTTCTCTCCTCCCACATTCACAACATTCAACTGATATTAAGCATTTTCCTCCTCGACTACCTCTCAAAAGCTGTTTTATATGATTCCAGTTCAAAACTGTGGCCATATCCAGTAGTGTTAATTAAGCAATCCCACTCCACGAGATGGTCAGGATTCCTTCAGTAAGAGCAGAGTATAAGAAAACTGACCCCCAAAAGAAAGATTTATCTACATGTGCCAAGCCCTGCACTCAAGTGAGTCACCTTAAGGTTCACAGCTTTCTAAATTAGGTTCTCCATTCCCATGTTAAAATGAGGAGACTCCAGCTCATAGACTTAAGTAACTTTTGCAAGACCCCAGAGTTACTAACATGGTGCTCCCTCCCCTGGGAAGCTATTTGTATCCCACCGAATATGAGATAATGTGTGGGTGATAGCTGATGATTCAGGAAAAACAAGTCCATCATAGAACCCTTTCCTGCCCAGACCTGTCACACAGCACTGACTTTAGGAGATAGTATTTTCAGTGAGCAGGAAGCCACATTTATTTGCATTAATATGTGCGTAGAATTCTGTGTGTGTTGCTGATAAGCGAAATCTGGTTTGGTCTGTCTGTTGAGTGTCACAGTGTCAAACCAGTTGAACCAGTAGGGACAAGGACTCCACCTCCAGCAGTAGCAGCATACCACTGAGATGGGGCTGGTTGGGCAACACAAGGCAGAGAGCATGTGGGGTGCTGCAAATTCACAAAGCACACTCCGACAAAGAGAAGGGGAAGACTAGTGGTGGTTATAATAATTCTCTAGAGCAAAAGAATTAACAATTACCTATTTCCTTGATTGTTTGAGATAAAGGCAAATGTCAGAGCAAACTTAAGGGAAAGTTGCTTGCCAAGTCCCCACTTGTCCCTTCTCAATACAAATTTAATCTAAATGAGTGAAACTTTGTATTCTCTCTAGTTTTATAAAACAGATGGAGATTTTTGTATTCATCTTGACTTTTGTATACATTAACAAACACTAAACTAAACTGTGTGTAAAGTCTTATCAGTAATAGACTGAGGTATTTAACTTAATTGTGTGAGAAAGGGATCTTCTTACAGGAAACCCTGGGGATTATGCCTCAAGAAATGGAGTCCAGTCCCATTTTCCAGTCCTACTAGCTTTCTGGTTCCAGAGGTTCAACCTCTCAATTTGGATTTTGGATGGAGAGGCAAATTAGGCAAGGGCTGGGGGCTGGGCGTGAGTAGACCTTTGAGGAAGACAACCATTAAAGCACTTCTATCCAAAAGGTTACAATTTGTGGAATGGCACTGTCTATATACAAAAAACAGCGACCGTATGCACCACAGAATGAAACACTGTCCGGTGTATAGGGTCGCTATGAGTCGGAATCGACTCCACGGCACCTAACAACATATACAAAAAAAAACTTTATAAAGTCAGTATAAAAATGTCATTTTTGATATCACATAGCATACTGTTTTAAATGTTGCAATATAATGAAACAGTTACGTTTTGTTCTTGACCACTTGGGACTTGACAAAATTCAATCTTTGCTTATTGTGAATAAAATCTTAAATTGTATAATCAGTTAATAAAATTATTTTCAGATGACTCAATTTAAGAGCATTTCTTCCTCATTATATTACCAGTGTATTTTTCCTTTGATAATCTAGCATAAATTACTTAACATTCTGATCTGAATTGCAAATGATACATGGTATTAATGATGTATTTTTCACACAAACCACCAGAAGAAATACCCTGCACAGACTATGTGTAGTCACCATAGAGACTCTTCCAGTCTGTCATTCACGTAACCGGTTGCCATCGAGTTGATTACAACTCAAGGCGACCCCCTGTGTGTCAGAGTAGAACTGCTCTCCATAGGGTTTTCAAAGGCTAATTTTTCAGAAGTAGATCACCAGGCCTTTCTTCCAAGGTGCCTCTGGGGAGACTCAAACCTCCATCCTTCTGGTTAGCTGCCAAGCACTTAATCATTCGCGCCCTCTAAGGAGTGTTTATTGAGAGCCTGTCGTAGCTCAGATAGCAAACAAAGGAGTAATTTCAAACCTCATGGTTTAAAGGGTGGAGTTAGTAGTTAGCGTGTATGGATTACTGTTTAGTAAGCTTTCCTTATAATGGAGATTTCATGTTTAAGGTGATATTTTAAGTTTTATTTTGTTGAACAACAATAATGTGTTTGTTTCCTTTTCTAACAAAATGCAGACATAATTTAATAGTTATGTCTAAAAGTAACATGGATGTCAGTATTTGTAAAATCAAAAAAGATGCATTTACATTATATCACAATTTTCCCTTGAAAGTTCATGATAATGACAATGAAAAATGTTCCTTTGTGAAACATAATATTTTTCTAATGCATTTTTAATGTTTGATTCTTTCCTATTATTTACCAGACTTTAGCAAAATGAGTTGGTACCCTAGCAACTTCCAAAGGTGCAAGTAAGTTATCCCATCTTTTTCCCATAATTATCCTATTTATATCTAGTGGAATCCTGTTCAAGTTAGCTACTGGTTGTTTTTTTTTTTTTTTCCTCTAAGCAAATTCTTGGAGGTATAATTTACATACAATAAAATTCACCCATTTTAAGTGTGCAATTCAGTAAGCTTTGAAAAATGTGTCCACCATGTAATGCCCACCACAATCAAGACAGACTATTTCTATCACTCCACAAAGTTCCCTTGTGCCCTTTCCTGTCAATTCCTCCTAGCCCTAGACGTAGGCAACTATCTATGTATTTGCTGTCACTATAGATTTGTTTTGCCTTTTCTATAACTTAATGTAAATATCAACTACTGTTCATCTGTTTTTTTTCACTCAACATAGTGTTTTCAAGATTCATCCCTGTTATTGCACATTTCAGTAATTTGTTCCTTTTCATCGTTGAATAGTATTCAGTTGTAAGGATATACCACAATTGATGTATAAATTCATCTGGTTTTGAACATTTGTATTATTTCTGGTTTGGAGTTATTATTTAATAAATTTTCTATGAACATTTGTCTATAATCTTTATGGGAACAGAAGTTTTTCTTTCTTTTGGGAAAATACCTAGAAGTAAGTGAATTGGCCATGTGATAATGGTATATTTAACTTTGTAAAAAAAAAAGTGCCAAACTGTTTTCTGAAGTGACTATAACAAAATGCAAATCAAAACCACTACTTCATACCCATCAGAATAGCTATTATCAGAAAAATGGAAAATATTAAGTTCTGGCAAGGATGTGGGGAAATTGAAACCCTCATCAACTGCTGGTGGGAACGTAAACTAGTGCGGCCACTGTGGAAAACAGTTTGGCATTTCCTCAAAAAGTTAAACATAGAATTACCATATAACTCAGCAATTCCATTCCTATGCATATATACCCAAGATACATGAAAGTAGGACTCAGATACTTGTACACCAGTGTTCATTGTAACATTAGTCACAATCACCAAAAGGTGGAAACAACTCAAGTGTCCATCAACCAATGAATGGATAATCAAAATCTAGTATATACATACAATGGAATCTTATTCAGCCATAAAGAGAAATGAAATTGTAGTACATGCTACAACATAGATGAACCTTGAAAACATTATGCTGAGTGAGATAAGTTAAATACAAAGGTACATATATTGTATGATCCCAATTATTGAAATATCTAGAATAATAAATAATAAACCAAAGTTAACAGTTACCAGGGACTAAGGGTCTAGGGAGGGTATGGAGAATGGGAAGTTATTGCTTAAGGGGTACTGAGTTTCTGTGTGGGATGATGTAAAACATTTGGAAATGGGTAGTGGTGATGGTAGCACAACATGGTGAATATAATTAATGTCACTGAGTTGTGCACTTAAAAATGATTACAATGGCAAGATAAAATATATTTTATCTCAATGAAAGTTTGTAATTTAAAAAAAAGAAAAAAGAACTGTAAAGTGACTATAACATTTTACATTCCCACCTAAAATGTATGAGAGTTCCAGTTTTTCCATATCTTCTCCAATACTTGATATAGTCAGTCTTTTTCACTTTAGTCATCCCAGTGAGTATGTAGTGTTTTGGATTTGCATTTCTCTCATGACTACTGGTATTGTATATCTTTTCATGTGCTTTTGGCCATAAGTATATCTTCTTTGGTGAACTGTTTCTTCAAATCTTCTGCCCATTTTTTTTTTATTTTACAGAACAAATAGTTTCTCATTAAACAATACACATATTGTTTTATGACAATGGTTAACAACCCCATGACATGTCAACACTGTCTCTTCTCAACCTTGGGTTCCCTATTACCAGCTTTCCTGTCCCCTCCTGCCTTCTAGTCCTTGTCCTTGGGCTGTTGTCCCCCATTAGTCTCATTTTGTTATATGGGGCTGTCTAATCTTTGGCTGAATGGTGAACCTCGGGAGTGACTTCATTACTAAGCTAAAAGGGTGTCCGGGGGGCTATATTCTCAGGGTTTCTCCAGTTTCTGTCAGGTCAGTAAGTCTGGTCTTTTTTTGTGAGTTAGAATTTTGTTCTATATTTTTCTCCATATCTGTCTGGGACCCTCTGTTGTGATCCCCGTCAGAGCAGTTAGTGATGGTAGCCGGGCACCATCTAGTTGTACTGGACTCCATCTGGTGGAGGCCATGGTAGTTGTGGTCCATTAGTCCTTTGGATTAATCTTTCCCTTGTGTCTTGTTTTCTTCATTCTCCCTTGCTCCCAAAGGGGTGAGACCAGTGGAGTATCTTAGATGGCTGCTCACAGGCTTTTAAGAACCCAGATGCTACTCACCAACGTAGAATGTAGAACATTTTCTTTATAAATTCTGTTATGCCAATTGAGCTAGATGTTTTCTGAAACCATGGTTCCCACAGCCTTCTTTTGCCCATTTCTTGAATGGATTGTTTGTCTTCTTGTTATTGAATTCTAAGAAGTTTTTTGTTTTTTAATGTATTCTGGATACAAGTCCTTTGTCAGATACATGCTTAACAAATATATTCTCCTAGCTTGTAGTTTGCCTATTCATTTTCATAGTCTTGTCTTTTGAAGAACAGAAGTTTTTTTTAATGTCAAATTGATCTTTTTTTTTTTAATTTGTGCTATTTATGTCCTAATTAGGAAGTCTTTACCTACCCTAAGCTTCCAAAGATTATTCTTGTGTTTTCTCCTAGAAGTTTTATAGTTTTAGCTTTTATGAGTGTGTCTGCAATTCACTTTGAGTTAATTTTTTGTATATAATGTAAGGTAACAGTCAAGGATCATTGCTTTTGTTTTGTTACATATGAATATCCAGTTTTTCCACTACCTCTGGTAGCAGATGTAAAGGGCTAAAATCAGAAGAATTGGTTGGCTATCTGCCTAGGAAGTGGTCATAATCTACTCTGCTACTCTACACTGGTGGTGACCACTTTTCTTTTACACTAGAAAAGCATAGTGGTTTATTCTCAGGAGTGGGTAAACAGAGGGTGCCGAAGTAAAAACACATCTTTCATGAGGATTTATTCAACCCAAAAGGAAAGATGTAAAGATATTGACAGCAGAGGTCCCCAACAATAAAATGGCTAGCCAGATCACCCATACTGTTGTTCATGGTTGACCAAGCCCCACCCACTCACTCAGAGGTTCCAGGAAGCTTGTTAGAGCCCAGTCCTTAAATAGCAGACAGACAGGGTCCTGAATAAAGCTTTTCAAATGAAGTTACAGATACTGCAACCATGAAACAAAAGAGGACACTATCAAGGGGGAATAAAGCAACTTTCAGAGCTTAAAAGAGCTCTTCAAAATTAAAAATATGAAAACTAGAAATTGTAAAAAAGCTGATTTAGAAGTGTTGGAGGAAACTCCCAGAAAGAAAGGAAGAAAGAAGTGAAAAATACAAAATAAAAGTTGAGAAAATTAACAGACTGGTTTCTGGTATCCAATGACCAGATTGGAAGAAGAGAAAAAAAGGACGGGAGAAAATATCAATTAAAAGACACAGGGAAATCTCTCAGAAGTAGACATGATTCCACACTGAAGGGACTCACCAAGAATACCACTTGCCCAGTGGATGGAAGCAGGCACCAATGCGTATCGCATGCAATGTCAGTATTCTGAGGACTGTAAAAGACCTCAGCTTCCAGAGAGAAGGGAGGAAAAACAGAATTGGACTCATATTGCCTTCAAAATTCTGAAGAAAAATTACTTCCAATCTAGAAATCTATACCCAGCCAAACTGCCCATAAAGTTAGAATACATAATAGACAATTTCATACATAGTGTCAAAATTTTTATCTCCAATGTCCCCCCTTTCAGGAAGCTAGAAAATGTGAGCCTCTAAATTGAGAAAGTCCGTTAAGAAACGAAGATATGGAATATAAGAATTAGGAGATCCAACATAGAAAAGCAGCAAAGAGAATCCCCCGGATTTTGGTGATGAGAGATCCCAGTATTACTGTTATGCCCCAGGTATAGATGGTAGCCAGTCCAAAGTGGAACAGAGCAAAAGGCTCCAGGAGAGCCTTCTTCAGGATAAAATACCTGTAAGGGTTCAATATCCTGAGAGAAGATTTTGATAACTGGCAGAGGTTTGGTGTAGAATTAGTGATAAGAACATAGGAAACTAATTTAAAAAATGTATATAGGTGTCTTTAGCTGGGTTTTATAGAGAAGCAATACCACTGAAGCGTATGTATATATATAGAGAGAGAAATTTATCTCAAGGTGATGGCTTATGCAGTTGTAGAGGCTGGAAAGTTCCAAGCCTGTGGGTCAGGGGTCAGGCATCAGACCTCAGGCTGGAGGCTTCTCCTGACTCACATAGCTGCAGGGGCTGATGAACACAAGATCCACAGGTCAGATGGCAAGTTGCTGGCTCACAGCTGCGAAGGCTGAGGAATCCAAGACCGGCAAGTAAGACAGCTGCTGGCCCAGGTCCCAAGAACTGGAGGTCAGATGCTGACGAGCTGAATGCAGGAGCCAGAGCAGAGCAAAAGCCAGTGAGCTTTGCCAGAAAATCCACATGTATTGGATGCAGGCCACACCCCCAAGGAAACTCCCTTTCACCTGATTGGCTACTCATAGTGGTCTCATCATGGAGGTGATTACATTGTATCAGATCTCATCTTGGAGATGATTACATCATTATACGACTGCCAAACTATATCATAACTGCCGAACCACTGAGAATCATGGCACAGCCAAACTGACACACAGTCTTAATGATCACAATAGGAAAGACAAAGTAATCATGTTTTATTATATAAAGTTATCCATATATATATATATATATATATATATATACACACATACATACAAAATCTTCCTAAATTTGGAAATTTTATGACGTCTTTTCAACTCATGGGTCAAATTAAAAAAAAAAAGACATATCAAAACTTATGGATTGCAGTGATAGGGAATTTATAGCCTTATATAATGTGTATATATGTGTGTTATCTGTATATATAAGATATATAGATATACATATGCATATA